CTGCGCCACCAGGGAGGGCCTACTTCTTTTAAACTTTTAAGGACAAGATCAATCCCATGCTATGTAAAAAGTATTTTTTGAAAAAAACATGGAATGTTTCTCAATCACTGCAAAAAGTCAGCATAACCTTAAAGCCAAAATCTGGCCATGAACACCTTTATTTATGAATATAAATACCACTGACTTAATTATAATACTTCAATTATTAGACTGTCATCTATTTGAAAATACAATTCAACTAAGTGGCTTTCTTGCTAGAAAACCTTAAAAAATAAAAAACACAAAATGTTAATGTAGATGATAGGATTACGGGTGGCTTAAACTTTTATCTTTATGGTTAGCATAGAAAAATTTAAAAACACACAACAAATTCTATCTTAAGCAGTAAAAGTTGTTTTTTCCTTTTTTCCAAGCAAAACTCGGTAAGCAAGTGCAGAATATTGAGCTAAAATAATATGCCTTGCCCTAGATGGCCATGACTCATTTTGACTCAGGGGTTGTATGGTGCAGTCTGTGAAACAAATGGAAAACTGCACATGGAACATCAGTTGGCCCACCCCCACCATGGTTATTGGTACAAAGCTCTAGGAGGCTGAGCAGGGCACCTGGAAGAAGGTGAGAGGAAGAGAAGGAGGAGAGAAAAGCAAAAGGTGGGGTAGGCTGGACATGTCCACTGACTGGGGACACCAAAGGAGGATTAGAAGGCAGCGGGGTTGAAACGGGCCTGTTAGGAAGCCCTGGAATGAACATTTCTTGGTCGTTGCCGTCAGGGGTTGAAGGTGATTCCTTGTTTAGACTTGCGTCTGTTTATCCCCCAGGGCCATAGGCAGATTTCAGTCCGTTGGTAGGTCCCAAAAACCTTTGACTTATAAGTTAGTGATCAACAGCTTCTTTTGAAAATTCTTATCAGAGCTGAGATTTTCTTGGTGGGCTTTGGGTGAAAATATAATTAGTGCCTCTTGAAGAAAATGGTGGTCCAGATTCATGACCATCAGGAGATCATGTGGGTTGTAGGCTCTGTATTTCTGTTGGCATCTTTACACACTGTACTTTTTTTTAAAAAAAAAATTTATTTATTTATTTATGCATACAGAACTCAGGTATAGGCCAGAGGTACAGGAGTGGTGAGAGGATTCACCAGAGACAGAGTGGGGAGCAGAACAGGCCAACTGACGAAGTACACTGCTGAGGGGAGCAGCGGGCGGGTCAGGAGAGGTCTGCCGCACCATGTGGTCACCTCCGGGGCAGGAGGGAATCGAACTCATGCTGGAGTGGTGTTAGCTTCTTTGTGCTGTGCTTTAACCCGCTGCACCACCAGGACACACGCAGTATTTTTTATGTGATAAAGAAGGTGACTTCCTGTCACAACGGGTAGGTTTTGATTTGCCCCATATTCTTTTTTCCCCAGATGGTGTCTGAGCTAAAAGACCATCTTTTGAGACATCTACAGGGTGTAGAAAAGAAGAAAATAGAACAGATGGTTCTGGAATACACTTCAAAATTGGTTGGTTTTGCTTTTTTTTTTTTCCTACCCCTTTGCTCCCAGTATATAATTTCTACTATATACAGTATGATTTTTAAATTTGGTTTTTGGAGGTCTCCATTCTAAACCAGTGCATTGGCAGTATAGATTGTGGAAAACAAGAAAAGAAGAACCAAAAAACAAAGAACACTTGCTTTTCAAAGTGGTTTATTGTGCTTTCTTCAAATAGCGATGATAGGCTCATAGAAGAGAACAGCTGTGGATTTAGCCTGTTTGCCAGCTGTTCATATCTCATCTTGGCATCTTCCAGTTTTTTATTAAATAGTAGGTAATGATTTCTGTACATGGAGTTTCATACAGACATGAGATAACTTGAATTTCAATTCTTAATTAGCTTTAACAGCCCAATTAGGCCAGATTCCAGCCCACTTGTATAAATACTAGCACATTAGAGTCTACTAATGAGATTGGCAGCTCATCCAGCTCACAGCCACTTATTGACTGGTGTGATCCAGATTCTTAACATTAGTCCATGTGTAAATAAAAGTGATGTAGCTGGATTAAGTTTTGATGCTACTTTAAGACTTTCAAAAAGTATAGGGAATTAAGAACCAATCTTACTAGACCTCAGGATTAAGATGCTGGATAAATATTTTAAAGTAAATAACCAGAAAGCAAAAGAACACACCACTTTACCTCTTAAGTTTTTTATGACCAATTTGCAAAAATCTAATGTATAAACATGCATTTTTTTGTATTGAAGATTAGTGAACACTATAGATATGGCTCTGATTTAATTTCATGCTGAATTTTAAAGTTTTCTGCCTTTGTTGCAGCCATTAGTATCTGCTTCTAATAATAATAATGTCTTTGAATTTTGATATTAAGGTTTGAGTTTCATAGTTCTTAATATATAGGGGAAGCTACTATTCCCATGTACTATATTTATAATCAAGGTATTGAAACATATTCAGTCTGTTTCAAAGTAGATTCATGCTGAGGGACTCACTTTATGAATGCATTAACGATTATCTCCATGTTGACATTAACTTGTTTTCTTAGTCCTTTAACTAACAGCACACAACTATTTAATTCATCTTACCACCTTTTTTCCTGCTGACTTTAAATTTCACTTCCCAAAGTGTTAAGTATTTTTGTTCGAGCATCATTCTTCCTGTTTAACTTGTTTGTATTAACCCTCAGAACCAACTTGATAAGAAATGGAACAGGTCTCAGAAAGCCCTGACACTCCCACTCTTCTCCTGTCTGCCCCAGTCCAGCAGCAGCTCGGCAGGTCTCCCAGTCCTCTCGCAGGACTGTGGCTGGGCAGCCTTTCTAAAACACACCCATGGCAGTTGCTGCAGAACCTGACTGTACTGCTGCTGTTACTTTACCTAGTTTCAGCCATTACATTTGTTGGTGCCTTATGGTGACCCTCTACCACTTACCTCCTCTATTTAGCCAACATATGCACTGCTTAGATTCATGGCCGATATCTGCTCTGTGGTTGACTGCCTGGTTGCTGGCAAATGAGGCCAAAATGTCAAACTTGGACTTGAACCCAGTCCACCAGTACATTCCACAGCCTGTGCTTGGCCCTCCTTGTATCATGACCCCTTTTCTCTGACTGTCAGCTGTTGACCCTTGCAACATCAAGCCTGGAGCAAACCCATTTGCAGTTGACTCCCTGACATGTGAGAGTCTGTGATTGTGATGATGGGGCCAGTTATCCAAGCTGGGGAACACAGCTGGGCACTGCCCACACAGAATGACACTGCTCTGTTAGACTCTGGAGCATGCATTTCGTTTTTCCATTTTCGATTCCAGTGCCTCAGAATTGACCTCAGAAAGTAAATGTCAGCTGCCCTAACATGCCTGCCAGGCTGGGGAGAGTGAGCACTAGGAGGACCCTGAGGGGAAGATTATTAAGAGGTTAATGGGTTGTCTTTGTCCTCTAGCTGGATCTCATTTGTCAGATACTGGAAACCAGTTGGAGGAAACATAATCTGCATCCCTGGGTTCTCCATTTGTACGCAAGTATTTCTCACTATTTTTTCATCGTGTGCAAAGGGCCAAAACAATTCTGATTGCTACCTATTTTAGCAAAGCTTTTTTTTTTTTTTTTGGTTTATTTATTTATGCATACAGAACTGGGGTACAGGCCAGAGGTGCGGGGATGGTGAGAGGCTTCACCCAAGACAGAGTGGGGAGCAGAACAGGCAGATCGACAAAGTACACTGCTGAGGGGAGCAGCGGGCAGGTCAGGAGAGGTCTGCCACGCCATGTGGGTCACCTTCAGGGACAGGGATCGGACTCATGCTGGAGTGGCGTTAGCTTCTTAGTGCTGTGCTTTACCCACTGCGCCACCAGGGAGGGCCCACAAATCTTTTTTTTTTTTTTTTTTTTTCATTTTAATTCAATGTTTACTTTCCCTCCCCTCAGGTATGGACCCCTATGTAATTTCCTTCCCCAATTCACCTGTGCACCATCATCACAGTCCCCTGTTTAGCAAAGCATTTTTTGAAACTTACAGTTGAAAGTAATTCTCACAAACTCAAACTATCTCAGTCTGTACCCTGAATTTAAAGCTATGCCCATCTTCTTCCCCGGCGTATTGGTTGATGAGGAGGGAGAACACATGTGCTCAACACTGACAAGGAGGATTTAAGTGAATACAATTTATCACGCATGAGTCTTCTGTGTAGGCATTAGGTTAATGGTCACTATCATTTCCAGGAAACTTGGCGCATGTCTCCCTTTTCATGATTATTACAATTGCTGTCTGTATGTGCCACCCAGAGCTGCTGCTCAGGACACCTGGGAGTTTAGAGATGACATGCCGTTTTGTTATTTTGCCCAGCAACAGGCAGGCGAGTATGGCTGAATTTGAAGTCTTTCATATCATGACCAGGATTTTGGAAGCTACGAACACTTTGTTTTTACCTCTGCCTCCTGGTAAGTCTTGGTTCTTTTATCGTGTTAAATTTTTTCTTTCTTTTTCCTGTGGACTTTGCATATTACAATTTTATGGATGAGATGAGAACTCCTGAGTGTGAGAAATTTTGTGGCTGGTGTCACTGTGAGAGGTGCCCTGAGGGTGGACTCTGGTGACTGTGACTTGCCCAGTTAGGAAGCACGACTGTAGCTCTTCTAAGGAGCCTGGGCTTGTTCCTATGCAGGTCCTAGGATTAAACCAGAGAGATCTTTCTGTGATGCCTCCAGACTAGTTTATCTGACTGTGATATCTGAAGGGTAACACTCAGAAGGAAATGGGTCTGGCTGGATGTCAAGAACTGAGCTGATTCTTACATGCATGGAAGCTAAAAATTTCCCAAGAACTTGAAATAGGACCAAATCAGGTCTCAAAATATCTTTGGAACATGTGCATGCAATCATTCCTTTAATTAATCATGTGTTCATTCAATCAGACATTTGTTGAGCAATTATTACATGCCAGGTACCATACTAGAAATTAGAGCACTTGCAAAACTTACCAGTCTAATTGGGAAGAGTACACATAAATCAGTATTCAGTATAAGAAACCACTAAGTTCCTGCTGCTATAAACTACTGTCTTACGTTTGTTTACATATATGTTTTGATGAGTGTTAAACTTTATGATAGCTATCTTAACATATATCTTCTAGTTTTATGTATATCTATCTATCCATTCATCATGAGTTCATTCTTTTATGCATTTTTTTCAAGTCACTATGTATCTGGTAAACATTTTATGCTAGGTACAGTTGTAAGTACTCTGCAAAAATTAGTACATTTATATTTTTGTGACAGTGCTAAGTGGTAGGAACTTAATTGAACCACACTACATTGTCAAAACATAACAGTTGTCCAACAGAAATGATACCTTCATACAATTTTGCTTAGTATTACTCATATTTTATAGATGATGAAATCAAGGCACAGAAAAGTTAAATAACTTTTTTAAAAAGTGATACAACTTTGAAACAACAGGTCTGATATTCAAATCTGGCCCCCAGAGCTATGCTTTTAGCTATTATTCTGTGCTGCCTCTTGAATTTTGTCTTCAAAATTAGTTGATGTTGAAACAGTGTTTATGGACCCAGAAGAACTCCCTATTATGTCTCAACTCTCCTGCATTTGTGATCTGTCTGATGGTGTAGGGAGCCCTTCATGCTCTCTCTGCTCATGCAGATGATGCAAAAGGAAATTCTTTTAACTTTGCAGGGACCTGGAAAAATGGATGACTCTAAGTTATTCCAGTGGAATATGGATTGTGAAGTGCTTATAGAAATAAAGGGGTCTCATGAAAAGTATACATGACTTTAGAGCTTAATTTTTTAGTTTTTGTCATTAATATGAAAGACTTGGTAGAGGAACTGCACTTACAGGTTTGTTGACCACGGATGCTCAAGCTCCTTACATAGATAAATGAAACTGACTTACTGGGGACAGTATTATACCTGATAGAGTATAAAAATCTACATTCTACAGATCATCACATTCCTTAACAAAGATGGATAAAGAGGAAAAAGTAGAAAAATGCTGTCCATAGTGATTGAAATCAGTCAACCTGATAACTTTGTGCTCAGAGGTCAAATAAGGAGGAGCACTTTCTCTCTTTTCTTTTTTTTTTTT